ACACACACACAGACACCACACACAAATATGACACAGGTGAAACCCGCACACACAAACACACTCGCACGACATCCAAAGGTAAAACACGTAAGCGCTCACATGCATGATGCAAACCTGATGAAGCTACCAGAACGCTACCTAGGGCGAGCGAACATAACGAGGATGACATGTTGGTGCTAACATCTCAAACCTCACATGAAGCTAACGAGCATGTGGAAGAGTACCATTTCTTTCCATGCTAACATGATGTCACCTGTCACGTGCATTGCACCGCAGAGGTCCAAATCAAAGTCCAGGTGTTCGACAACAGTGACCTGACTCCGTTAGCCGACGCCCTGGTGGAGGTCCACGGCAACCAGAGTGTATTGGCAACGGCTCGTGCTGGCGCAGACGGCACGGTGACGGTGGACTTTGGGTACCGTGCTGCTAGCTGGGTCATCATCAGTGCTGCCAAAGCAAACTACGTCACCAACTCGGTGCCGTGGTTCTCGGGCCGCCCGCCCCGTAAGACCAGCCCGCTCTCTCACGCTTTGGTCATGCCCGGCATGCATTTATGCTTGTCTTCTTTTCCTCCTTACTCTTCTTCTTCTTTTTCTTCTGGTCCTCCTCTTCTGTCAGTGTACGCCTCAGTAAGTTTGTACCTTCTGGTTCATCGACCCGGTACGCTGATTCTGTACGATGACGTCCTTCTCGTTCTGTCCGGCTCACCAGGTAATAAAGAAAAAAAAAAGAAATAATGTTGCCGCATGAACTTTCTTCAAATATAATGAAAAAATGGTGTCTAGTGACATCTTAGTTCCATTGTTAAAATGCTGAAGCTGGTAATCACTTGCCTTGGTGACCGAGTGCGCTATGTGATGTGGCAGGTGGCGGCGAGCATCCCGTGGTGCAATTTCCCCGGAAGTCATTGCACCTGCCGCCGGACTCCAACGGGACGGCGCTGGCGGCCTCGCTGACCGCCGCCAGGACTCAGGACGAGATGGGCGGCTTCCCCTTCTTGCTGGGCCGCGAGACCAACGGCTCAGGTCCGAGAACGACGCTCCCCCCTAATCTTTGTCTTCAATTCAAAACCTGTGCTGATCTCAAATCCAAAATGATGCAATGCCGCCACCTACTGGCGTCTGTTCGTCATACCAAAATTGTCAGTAAACGCTGGGGCCGGGCCTGTGTTTTGGTGTTCAGGCGCAGACGCGGGTTGGACTGACTTGATGCCGTTGGCACTCGTCGCCGTGGAGCTCTCGGACAAAGACGGCAGCCCCGTCCCTGTTTCGGACTCCATCCGCATTTCCGTGCCGCTTCCGTCGGACACGCGCAATAGGATGGCCACCAGCGTGCCCACGTGGATGTATCAGCAGCACACGGGTGAGCAACGTCTGCCTCAAATCAAATACAAATTTTGCGCTGCCATCACATACACAAAAGTTATTATTCCAGTCCCATACTGAACATCTTTTTCCATTTGAAGCAGTTTAACTCATCATTTGCGCGCCCCTTGGTTGGATGAGGAGGTTGAGGCTGATGATTCTTATTCATCATATCGCCGTTGTGCAAAAGTGTTGATGGTGCATGTGTGCGGCACAGGGCTGTGGGTGCGCAACGGTACGGGCTACATCCAGAAGGAAGGCTCGCACTTTGTGTGGAAGGCCGTGCTCTCTCAAACGGGCTACTGGGTGGCCGCTTTTCCCGCCTCCTCAGGTAAGCCGTCGTGTGCCCTCAGAGAAAATGCCACACTTGGAAAAGCTTTTCGGTGAAGCTGTGTCTCCCCTTTCACCACCTGGAGAGTTTTTACCGTTCCTTCTAACGAGCGCTGATAGGCTACGTGATGTTTGGTATGATGTTTCACACCCGCGTGAGCCTGCAGTAACTTGAAAAGACGATCACTGCAAAATGCCAGGAGATTGATGTACACAATGTCAAAATCTGCCATCCAGTGAGACCAGTTGTAGCGTGGGACGAGTGTTTCGTTTTAGTTTTCTTGCCCCCGCTCGTGTGTGTTGACTTTTGTCGGGTGCGGTTGCAGGACTGGGCCCGAGCCACCCGGGCCTGAGGGACATCACCACCTACCACACCCTGTTCCTGCTGGCCATCCTGGGCTCTTTGGCTCTGCTGGTTCTCATCCTGCTCTGCGTTCTGCTCTACTACTGCAGGTGCGGCCTTTTCGGAGCCAAACGGGAATTTGAGTTGACCGAAATCCAAACGTGTTGTCGGCGTGTGCTCGCTTGCAGGCGGAAGTGTTTGAAACCTCGTCGGCAGCTCGGGAAGCCTCTCCCCTCCAATGCCAACGGCGCCAAGCGGGACCAAGGCACGTCCACGTCACGCCTCAATCTAATATGCGGTGGTCATGCCGAGTCGGGTCCGTCCGACGATAAGTCGGACCCATCCCCCTCCCGGGACTACCGCAGCTCTCGCGAGGACCTCTCCAAGCACGTGGCTGCTCACAAGCTGCGACATTCCATGGGCAAAAACACTTCTGGTTCTCAGCGCGCTGAATGCTTCGCCATGAAAGCAACCCGAGCCACCGACACCAACAACCTGGACAACCCGCTGCTGCACGAAGACTACGACCAGGGCTACGGTCCCATCGAAGGCGGCAAGTCCGACTATCACAGGCACCACAGCGCCAACGACAATCGCGGCTCCTCGTCCGACCCGCCGTCGCCGCCGCGCTTCCAAGGCTACGTGCCGAGCCAGCCCGATAAACCTCCGGAATATTCGGCGGCGGCGGCCGACAGCCTGGCCCGGCCCACCTCCCTCAACACCCAGCCGGGCCAGATCATCTTCTGCAGCTCAATCGATCAGATGAAGGAGAACATGTACCGCAGCATGGTGCCCACCCTGGTCATCCCCGCCCACTATATGCGCCTGCCGTCAGAGTTTGCCGCCAAGGACGGCAAAGAGCCGAAGGAAGGCAACAAAGATGGCGTCCAGATGGGAGGAGCCCAGCAACAGCAGCAGCAGCAACAACGGCAGCAGTGCGGCCCCGCCGGGGACGAGTCGGAGGACCCCGGCTGGACGCCCGACTCGTCCGGGGGTGCCGTCACCATCCCGGTGCTGTTCAACGACTCCACCATGGCTCAGATGAACGGAGAACTGCAAGCCCTAACAGAAAAGAAGCTTTTGGAGCTGGGCGTCAAGCAGCACCCGCGGGCCTGGTTCATCTCCTTGGACGGCCGCGCCAACGCCCACGTGCGCCACTCCTACATCGATGCCGGCAACGACCTGAGCGGCGGCGGATTTGGCGGCGGGGCCGGAAGCTCTGCGAGAGACGCCAACCTGGTACCGCCCCTGGAGGCTCACGAGCGCAAGAATGGCAGCGGGCTCAAG